CTCTGTTTCTGCAACCGCTGCAAGGAGTGGCTGCGGCAACCGGCGGCTGCGGCTGCGGTGCCGGCAGTCCTTCTCGCTCGAGCGAGATGGGGACGCGGGGAGAAGAGGTCGCTGGCTGGGTGATCGAGCGGCGGCGATGCGGCTGGGAAAAGTGGTGGTGACGCGGCTGGGAACAAGGGCAATCCGTGAGTTGCCCTGTTTCGGTCGCCGTGAGGAGGGCGACAATCGGCGGCTGCGGCTGCGATCCAAGGGGAGGCGGGCGGCGGTGGAGAGGCAGCGGTGGTGGCGCGGCTGTGAGCAGCGTCACCAACGATCGCCGAGGAGGAGAGGTCGAGCGGCTGCGCTGCGACGCAAGGGGAGGCGGGCGGCGGCAGTAGGGCTGGGATGGACGCTGGCAGCGTCGTCTCCTGGCCGGCGAACAGCGGCGGTGGTGGTCGCCGGCCGGGAAGCGGGGCGATGGTGGGCGCTGGCCGGAGAGCAGCAGCGGCGGGTGGGCTGGCCGGAAGCAGGGGACGCAGGGGTGGCTGCGGCTTCTTCCTCCTCTCGTGTTTCTTCTTTTCTTTTTTATTTTTTTGATAGCTACGACACTGAGAACGCTAAGGATCGCCGATACAATAAGACCCTAAAGGTCTTATCGTCGCTATGATATCAAATGATAAGACCCTAAAGTTTTATCGTCGCTCTGATACTAAATGATAAGACCCTAAAGTCTTATCATAGGAGAGAAATGGATCCTAAAGTCTTATCATAGGGGAGAAATAGGGATGATAATGATCGCTGGGATTGAGAAATAGGGATGATAATGATCGTTTCGAGGGGATCGGGCCCTCCTTGATCACTTCGAGGGGGATCGGCCTCCTTGATCGCTTCGAGAGGATAGTTACATCCCTATTTATAGAGTTCCACCCAGAGCCTACTTGAACTCTAATAATAAATAAATATTAAATAAACCTCTACTCGACTCTAACTGAACCAAATCGACTCAATAAACAACTAGACTAAACAGACTCAATAAACATTATTCAAAAGCTCAGAAAAAGGGTCCTAACAGAAACATTGTCGAGAGATCGTCAGAAGTTCGTCAGAAGATCGTCGGAAGCTCGCTGGAAGAAACCTAGACTAATCGGACTTATTTAGCTTAGTGTATGCCTTAAAATTTATAGTTATCACATAATTTGGTTGGAATTGGGCTAACTCAATTAGGGACTAATTGGGCCTAAGTTTATGCTGTGTTGGGCCAAGTGAAATGCTCAAATAGTGACCCAATAGATGAAATCATCGTGGCACAATCTCTAAGACTGTGTCAAGCGGTGGTACCACCTAGACACAGTCTCCGAGAGACTATCAGGTGGTGCTACCACCAGACTGGGCGGTGGTACCGCCTAGTGGCAGGGTGTCAAGCGGTGGTACCACTAGACTGGGCAATGGTATCGCCTAGTGTCGGTGTTAGTGTCAATGTTGTAGACGATGGTACCACCCAGCATAGGTAGTGGTACCACCTAGCACAGGCGGTGGTACCGCCAGTACCCCGAAAATCATGCATGAGACTCTTTTAGACTCCAAATTTGAATCCACTTGAGACCTATAAATACTCCTCTCATCCCTGGTTAACATATATAAGAATTGAGAGTAAAAATGAAGAAAACCATTGTTATAATCTTGTGAGAACTTCTCTAAAAGTACTAAGTGTTAGTGTAGTTTAATAGAGGAGTAAGTGGGGGTGTAAAGGTTCTCTCCTAAACCTGTCAAAAGGAGAATTGAGTTGTAAGAGTAGTTGATCTTCGCCTATTGAAGGAAGATCGTTAGTAGATGTCGGTGGCCTCGACGGAAGAGGAATCGGTGGAGTAGATGTAGGTCACGACGACCGAACCACTATAAATTGGTTTGCATTTTTGTTTTGCTATTTACCTTTATTGCAATCTACTTTCAAAACTGATGTTTTTATCCTCTATACTAATTCACCTCCCCTTTTAATGCCGACTCGATCCTAACACTATGTCCTCTATCTTAAACACTTATTAGTCCATAAACTCATCAATTAATTTCATCATCAAAATCCGGGATTCAATAGAAGGTTCAGGCATCGTGCCAAAAGGATCGGATATAAGGTCAGAAGATTGGATGTTATGAAAAAGTAGGCATAACAATGGAATGGGTGATATATTGAAGGAAAAGATGATGTACTAGAGATTCAAGCGAAGTACCCAAATATCCGACGACATGCTGGAATAACGTGTAATGTGTTAGAAGATTCATAAATATGTCATATGTGTAGTTGATTTGTCAATGTCTTGATCTAGGTCATTATAAGTCAATTTAAGTTGGTATTAGGCTAAAATAATGCCAACTTGTCCATAAAATCATTGGGCTTGAAACCAAACTAAATTAGGCCCATTAAAAGGTCAAAACAATGGCCTGCCTGAGCTGTGGTATTACCAAGCCCAAGTAACAAGCACTATTTGTGCTTTGTTAGTTTTTCAAATTGTGGTACTACCTATCCCGATGGTAATACCACCTATGCCGACGGTAATACCATATAGGCCAATGGTAATATTGCTAGATTTGCAATATACTTATAGTGGTAGTACTGTCCAATGTTAATGGTAGCATCGTTCGTACCAAAATTTTGGAGATTTAAATTTTTGGGTCTATTGTTAAAGCTTTCTTGGGCCTATAAATATCCTATCTTAGCTTGATCGATGGAATATCCATTCTAGTTTGTAAAGTATTGTAACTCTCTCTTTAAGTATTGTTTGAGTTTCTTCCTCCCTCTTGAGTTTAGTTATGATACTAAGTTATAGGAGGTGAAAGATCTCTTGTAAAAGAGTAATTATATAGATTCACTTCTAAGCTTGTTAAAAAGAGAAAAGTTGTAATAAGGGTAATTGATCTTCGTTCGTTGGAAAGAAGATCAATAGTGAAAGTCGATTGATTGCCTTAAGAGAAGAGGAATGGAGAGTAAATATATGTCAAAAAGATCAAACTACTATAAATCAGTTTGTATTTCTTCTCTTACTCATGACTTTTGTTTGTGCTTGCTTACTTATTATCATTCACCTTACTCAAATGTTTATTTGCGCTCAATATTTGGTTCATCATATTTTTAATACGAATTTTATGATCAAGCTTTAAAATAAGTTTAAATTTACTATAACACTAATTCACCATCTGACATTAAGATCCTAATAGTTCTCACTCAGTAGCCCAACAATAGCACAAAATCCATAATTTTCATCAGCTTCAACATCTCTAATAAGTCGAACATAGTCTAAATAACCTGCAGGAAAAACAATACGCATAATTGTAAACGTTGTACCCTCTAACAATTGCTATTCTTTTATTTTGTCGTGGATGTTGTACCCTCAATTTCGACTTCATTAAGATAGTTGTACTTATAGTAGCCAGAGATGTAGTATCTTGAGCGAACTCTATAATCTCAAAGAAAACTGGATATCGCTGGGACAACCTTTCGTCTTTGAAAGCTCATACAGTTGATGGTTCAACGAATTCTGTGAGCTATATCACTTGCATTGAACTCTTCCATAATACGATCAAACTCAGGTGGAAAGGTGCAAGATTCAAGTCATATACTAGTTCTTCAACAGGATTTCACTTCAAGTCAAGCTTCCTCCGATGGCGATCAATTGCCGACAAAGGGAATAGGGTAACATGAGCTCTTATTCTCTGCAATCTCATAGGTGCCTCTCACAATACAGCCACAAGCTTCTTTATCTACTTGTATATTCTCGATTATCTGTGATAATTACAATATCATATTTAATGCATTATTAGATACGACGCCCTTCACAGCATGGATCTTCTTGGGAAGGACCAAGATACCTCCTTTAAACTTCCCAGGAGCATTCTGTCCAAATGTTATGAATCTGCATTGTTCTTCGTAAAGAAGCTATTCTACTTAGTAAGTGTTTGGAAATATACCTATTAGTTGTTAGGTTGTCGAGATACATTATCTCATTAGTCCATGCAGCAAAAAAAAATCTCTTTTTTTTTTTTTGTAATTACTCAAGTACACAGATCCAACATAGGATGCGTATATAAACACATTTCAAATATGAATTGATGTTGGGTGAATTTTATTTAAATCGCATCTAGTTTACATGCTGCATTAAAAAAAGCTCAAATGCTGATGCTTATCTTAGGGTTATTATATTAGCATCTCAGCATTTTCAGGATGCTCATATGATTCTTTAAATTTTGAAAGATCCTATGACTTTATCTAAAATTACAAAGTTGCCAAGATGATTTAGTGTGAAATAAACATTATTTATATTTTATATAAGTTGAGACTTTATTTATTTATTTATTTATTTTTAAAAATTATTTTATATTGATTTCTATGATTATATTATTCCTTATATATTTGAGCCATATAATTTTTTTTATAAGATTAAATATATTTATTTATTTACTCATTAATTTAAATTATATATATATATATATATGTTAACTTTTGAATAAATATTAAAAACATATAATATTCAATGGATTTTTGAAATATAATTTTACCAAGCAACACTTACATCAATGCATATTTAAAATATAGTTTTATCTATTATTTACCAAGCAACACTGTGTGCATTTCACAACTGCACATTCATTCAAAGCAAGTGTTCCCAAATGTATTCATACTCAGCTTCATTAAAAGATTATTAATGCTAGAAGGTTCCAACTTGACATAAACTTCTCTGCTTCATTCTTTTTATGAAATATCTTTTGCAATTAGTTAGGATATTATTGGATATATGCCACCTGCATAACAATAACACTAGATGATGATATTAAGCTGCATAGTCTCTCCATTGCCTAGATGATGATATATGCCACCTGCTAGCGGTGGTACCCAGGAAAAAAAGAAAATCTAAATTTTGCTTTTTTTTCATTTTAAGAAATAATGGACATCTATTTTTGCTCTTTGAAATGCAAATTTAGAACACAAAACAAACATAATAAACATAAAGTGTGTTCATATCAAGACAAGGTTCAGGTAGAAAGGAGCAAGTTCGATTGAGCTTAACTTAAAAATCCCAACTTGAAAGTTCAAGGAGACATGATAACTACAATAACTTGGTGATAGAAATATGGTTACACCCTGATTGTTTCTCGACTCCCTGGCAAAAGGAACCCACAATCGACCTCAGAAGCCAGATTCGAAGACGCTGTGATAATCCACTTCAATCTTCGTCCCTCTCTGGTGGAAGACCACAGGGCAACAACATTTTCTGCAAGGAAAGACATTTAAGTTACGTCGCAAGCGGCTTGTCGGAAGAAACAAGAAAAATGCAAAACTACTGACCTAGTAAATTACTATGCCTAGTCCAGCAGTAAAATAGGACCAAGAAGAAGGGTTCTTTTCAAGATGGCATCGAATGCTAGCATAGTTGACCTAGTACTCATCCAGAAAGCTAAATATTTTTGTTTATCAAAGGAAACTTTTCAAGAACAAGGAAATAGAAGTATAGGTAGATAGCAATCCACTTGGTGAAACAAAAACACAGGGCAAGAATTAGCTTTTTAGAAAAGAAAAATCATTAGCCTATTCCTAGTAGCATAAACTAGTTGTAGAGACAGTAGCAATCATCAAAAGTTTAATGCAAGCTCAAAAAGGAATCACAAACTATGTCAAAAAAATAATGTTTAACCAATTAGGCAATTACAATCTAGTCAATGTTCAACTATGAAATTATTGACTCCTATTTTTCTTAAACAAATCAATCAAAGCAGGCTGAAATAGAAATCACAAATTATGTCCTAGTACAATATTTAACCAATTAGAATCTAATTAATGATTCAACGACAAAACTATTGACCCCTATCTCTCATGAACAAATCAAATAAACCCCATGGTGAGAACACATCGAAAGAGGTAATCAGGTCCTTTCCAATACCATCATTCATGTTGCCTATGGCCTTAATATCGGGACAGGATGAGTTTCTTTAAGAAACTGGAATAACTAACTTTGTGATATTAGCCAGCTATCAGCAAGATTCTGTGCAGCATGGATAGAGATAGTGGAATGACGCGATATGAATACACCAACCCACTAGACCTTATAAATATCATACAAAATATGGGCACAGACATGTAAAGAAAATGTATTTGAACTTTTTGATAGCGTGGCACTGTTATGTTTAAGATATAGCATGAATGCCGCTATGTCGGTAGATTCATCTGAGCCATAGAGAAAACAAAATTTAACAGCTTGGCTAAGACATAATAGAATTGTGGGTATTACACAAACATGCTACGAAATATATTTTCAATGACTTCTCAACAATAACAATGAACCATATTAAAAGAAAATTCCTTATACTAATATTAGTACCCACCAGATAAATTAGGTTATTAACTTGTATGAGTCATATAATAAATGGTTTTTGCCAAACTACCACAAATCATCTTTGAGGTTTGGTGGTGGTTTAGCGCATAGCAGGTGCAGAATATGTACAACTGATAAATGATGCAAGCTACAATAAAGAATAAATAGAACAATGCCTCACCTGCATAAAATTGTAGCGTTCCCTTCCAATTGATTCATTTTCAGCAACCGCAAAATATGCCAGGATAGGGTAGTGACCGATATATGATGCATAACTATCACGCTGGATGTTCACTGCCCATTCACTGTAACATTAAGAAATATAACCAGTAGGAAATTTATACAGCAACCTCTACATAGTAAACAAGCATGTCTAACAACGATTTGGAAGCTTACAATCTACTCAAGTCAGCATGCCCTGTTCCAACATATTTAGCTTGAAGATGCTCGAGCTGAGAATTAATGTTGAATCTGTCGCTAGCCTGCACACAACAAAGTAATTATGCAATATTCAGTCGAACAAAAAAATACCTTAATCCAAAAAAGGGCAATATACAAGCAAGCTATCATTTTGCTATGCATGAAATAACTCGGTTAAGTTTTGGACACACAAACGATCTGCATCTAAAATCCCTTCATGAGTTTCGAACACACAAGTTTGGCTTCACCAAACACCAACAATCAAGTGTTTTACCACCATCCATCTAAATTATTCCTACAGAGAGTAATCATGAAGCACAGAGACAGTGTTACAGAACTTATCTTGGTGAGACATCTGACGATTATTAGAATTGATGGAGACGTTACGCAGACAAGGAAAGTAAATCAAGAAAAGCACATCACGAACACCGAAGAGGAACAGGGAGAGGAGATAGTAAAACCAGACAAGTGCACAACAAGTTTTTGTGATCGAAACCAATACGGATATGATAAGTGAAAGAAAGAGATGTAGGCACCTTCAAATCCATCTTCCGCTATGTTCTCGCGGGTCGCCGGAGAGGGAGATTGGAGGACGCCTGCGAGGTGTTAAAGTCACGAGATTAGGGCTCCGTTCCTTCCAGTAGCCGACACCAACAAAATAGTGGGCCTAAATGGACCGGGCTTGGGCTTTTGCTGCTATGCCCATGGTCGAAGATTCCCATACCCATGACGGAGAGCACAGCAGCAGCAACCATACTCGCCAGAATCGACGGGTGCATAAAAGTCAACGGTGTTCGGCGGCCGTGAATAAAACGTGAGTCAACTCCAATAGGCGTTGACTTACTTATTGCCTGCTTTGAATAGGAACAATGAGAAGAAAGAAATCCATCACAATTCTTGGAATCAAGATGGTATGAACAATGAAGCTAACAGTAGGCTACAGAAAATGTACTTGATCTCAAGTAATCAGAGCATATAATTCACAGTAATAAACTTGACCAAGCAACTGATAATTTTCACATCAAAATATTAACTTTAATTACAATTTTTTCTCGGAAAAAAAAAAAGAGATGAAGGCAAGAGAAAAATTACAACTCTGTTATAAGCAAGAACAGATATCTATACAGACAACACTATACACAAATGAAAAAGGAATTACTGCTTGACAACTCTGGTCTTGAGCCAAAATCCAACAAGCTTCTATGTGAGCTGTGATCTCATCAGCCATGGAAACTTAGGAGGGGAAAGAGAGTCTCTCTACGATCCAGCTTCCATTTATGTGGTACCAAATCTTAATGATAGGAATGCTTTGGTAGTGCTGTCTCCATTCCCGGAGCTTCTCCACCAGCTCATCAGGCATGTCTTCGAGCTCCAGTTTCTGCAAACCACTGAGGCTCTGAATCCCTCTGGGAATCGTCTGCAACTGGCTGCATCTCACCAGTGTCAGCTCCTGAAGGCTTTCCAGGGCGGTCCCCTCGATTTCTATGCAGTTTAGGTGCGCCATGTCGCACAGTCCCAGTGACTTGAGCTTGTACAGCGATCCTGCAGGGAAGCGCAGTGCGTTCCCCTCGAACGCTTGCATGAGGAAGAGCGAGACCAGATTGGGCGACGCCATGAGCGCGGACACTGCGTCTTCTTTGAGTCTTGACATCTTCAGCACCACGTGAGTGAGATTTGCAAGCGAATCGAACCAGTGAGGCAGCATCCCCTTCTCCAGCTTCCCGTACAAGCTGAGCTTTCGAAGCCGTCGAGGTGGGGTGAGGTTGGCTAACAGCAGGGTGTCGTCTTTGTGGTTCGCCATTAGAATCAGGCGATGAAGGTGCTCCATCTTCGATATGGAGATGCAGAGATCGACGCTGTGGATGGTGGTTACCCCTCTCACGTCCAGACTTCTCATCTGTGTCATCTTCTTCAAGTGCCGTATCATCCCATCGTCTGCTACTGCGGCCTTCAGCGTCTGTAGCCCCTTGAGGTTCCCGATTCCTCCGGGAACCTTCACTCCGCCACCGAGAACGGTGAACCTCGAGGTCTGGCGATGGAACTTCTCGCCATCAGGTGCCGCAGGTTCTCCAGCTTCGCGACTCCGCTCGGCAGCTCCTCGATGTGGGTGTGCACTGCATCCAAGGTTTCCAGATTGCGCAGGTTCCCCAGCGATCTCGGTAGCCTTCTCACGTTAGTGCGTCGTATGCTTAGGTAACGCAGATTGAAGAGACAGACTACCTCATCCGGCAAAACTTCCACCGGAGCAGAGCAGAGACCCAAGACTCTCAACAGCCTGCAGCTCGAGATCAACGAGGCCGAGACCGGCGAAAACCAATGGAAGGATCGAAGCAGGGGCATCCTCCTCTTCAAATGATGGTAAGCCTCCTGCCCGCCGTTCGTGATCGAGAGCCGTCGAACTCTCTGGCTCGTGTTCTCCGGTCTGCCGTCGTACGCCTCGGCGAAGTGCTCGTCTCTCGATTTGGCCATGATGAGTTCTCTGACGAGGTCATGGACTCGGTAGAACTGGATCCGCCCGGACTCGTTCGTGTGGGTGACTTGGAGCAAGCATCGGCCAACCAATTGGTTGAGGTAGTCCTCGGCCACCTCCTCCATGGTTCTCTGGCCCCTTCCTTTCACGAACCCTTCAGCCACCCACAACCTGCTCCTCCCTGTGGGATAATCCTCCGGAAACATGCTGCAATGCAGGAGGCAATTCCGTCGATGGTGAGGCAAATCTCGGATGCTCAGGCTCAAAATCCTCGACACCGTGTGCAGCCGTGTGTTGTCGGTGGTCGTCGTCGACCAAGTTAGGCTGTCGTGGAACATCTTCCACACCGGCTCAAGCCTTTCCTTCTGCGACAGAAGGTTGGCGATGGAGACAATGGCAAGGGGGAGGCCTTCGCACTTGTCCACCAGTCGTCTCGCCCAGAATTCCAGCTCTTGGGGACAAGCATTTCCCTCCTCCCCACGAAACGGCAAGAGGATCCATGCCGTCTGCTCCGGTAGAGGGTCAACTCTCACGACGCATCCATTGGTTGATGCAGAAGACACCTCCTGATTCCTTGTGGTGATCACGATTCTACTACCACAGTGGTTGTCGAGCAACGTGTAACTGATATCGTTCCATAGATCTGCATGCCAAACATCATCTAAGACGACGAGGTACCTTTTGTGGTGCAGATACGAACGCAAAGTCTCCACCAGCCTCCTGTACTCCATGGAGTCGAGTTCATGTTGTGGGAGTTCCTCCTCCATCCTCTCCTGATGCAACTCTCTCAGGATCTTCCCGAGGACTTCCTCGGTGGTGTAGTTCTGAGACACGGAGACCCATGCGCGGCAGCTGAAGTGGTCGGTGATGGTTTGGTCCTTGTAGACGCTAGTGACGAGGGTGGTCTTGCCGACGCCACCCATTCCCAAGACGGAGGCCTTGCCGCGCCAGGGATCCCCGCTGACCAGCCACTTGATGAGTGCGTCCTTGTGGCCGTCGAACCCCACGAGCTCGTCTTCCTCCATGAAATGCGCTGATTCCGCTACGCGGCGGCTGAGCTCGCGCTCGTCGGACGGGCCGTTCGTCGTCGTCTTCTGAGGGATCTTAATGCCGTACATGGATCTCATCCTCCATAAATCGGCAAGACTGGCTTCTGTGGCTTCAAGATTGGTGATCACATCACACAGAGCCCTGGCCTTGTGGATGTCATTGAAGGCGTTGTAGATGTAGCCCCCTAAGCCACCCCAGCTTCTTCCGGCGACGATGTAGTTGTACTCATCGATGATGTCTTCGATCTCATACGCCACATCTTGAATCTGCTTGGCCCATGCACTCAGAGGCTGCTCGTGGTCTCCTCTGTATGCGCTCGTGCACCCGAGGAATTCGTTCATGACCTCGAGCTCCCTTCCGATCTGAACCATCTTGCCCCGAACTTTCCCCGAACGCTTCATGAGCGAGTCCAGCCGGCGAAACGCCGCTGCAGCTACAGCTTCCGTGATCTTCTCGGTTAGGCATGCGATAGCAATCTCTGCAATTCTTTCTCTAACGATCTCGGAAGACGGAGGCCATGACTACAGAGGTATTTTATTGATTATCGTATTTAAAAATATATACCAAATTATTCTTTTCCATAACACTCCAAGTTGACAGATCGATCGAAATACGAAATGAAATGGGGGGACTGAACAATCCTACAGCTGCATTCTGGTCCTTCTCACAAAGAAAGAACTTGTTTGAGCCCTTATTTTTGCTGTATTGCTGAGGAGAATGGGCATCAAAAGCAAGCTCTTTAAGCCACTAGGCACGTCTGCAAGACATTTCTTTTCATATTTGAAGTGAGAATTCACCTGTTGTTAAAGCAATTTACTTGATTTTTTTGTTTTCTTTTTTTCTTTAATCGGATCAATAATAAAATGTTTGCAGCAATATTAAGGTCTTCTCGATGATATACATAGAAATTATATTTTACTTGGAAAAATTATTTCTGATGATTTTCACAATGTAAAAAAAGGATTAGGGAAATAAATAAATAAAATTAACAAGGCAAGCTTTATACAGAGTCCCTACTCCATTCTCCATTTTACATACATATACATATACATATACATATACATATATATATATATATATATATATATATATATATAATATGACTTAATCAAAGTTAGTTCTACAAATGAGGTTTTTACAATCATGAATAGGCCGTAGAAAAAATGCCACAAGAACCAAATTGGCCAGTTTCCAACACCACCTTCTAATGTACATACAAAAGAAAAAAAAAAACACCTTAAATGCAATAACCAGTCTCTCTTTTTCTTTTCCTTGTTCACTTCTTTATACAGCCTCTAATGTTAAATCAGTTACTAAGGTACTACTACACATCAACAGATCCAATGGGTGTTGACTCAGGTGGAGATCATTTGCAGCTCATGAGTACAGAATTTATAACGTGCATAACCAAACGCATGTTAGTTGCTTCAGAAGCAGTGGCAGTGGGAAGTGATCTTTGGTGGACTAGTATACTGTAAACCTGCTCAAAGATTGGCCGAACGTAGGATGTGATTGTTGGATCTGCTGGGTTGATCACTACAGCCACATCGGTCATCCAACCCAATTTCCTTGGTGTCTCGATGCTGATGTCACATGCTAGCTGCTGCAGAAGAGCTAGAAGAACTCCTTGACTCAGGGGAAGTGGCACGGTGTAACATATGGTGCGCAGATCAACCTGAAAAATTATACCACATACAGCGAAATAACTGGCTTGCTTATCAACCTTGAAAAAACTCGGAAAAAATAATGCTTGAATATGAAATGTGAGCATAAAGATTGATCCTTCTTCCCTGGCCAAGTTCCGGATGAGTATGAACAACAAACCTGTGTACAGAGCCAAGACACAATTGATACATCGCTTCTTTGAAGAGCCATCGTGAAAGCTTCTTCATACTTGCGTTCGGATGTCAATCTTGAGAGTTCCTTTTTGGGATCCAGAGGTGCCTCAACCTGCTGCACGGACAAGGCCTGCTAGAAACAAGAATTCAGAGAAATTGTTCCCCTTAAACCAAATTTTCAGCCTCCACCATGAAACTAATCCAATTGACTATTAATGTGTGATACAGAAAATTTTTCCTTTCGTGTGTGTTTACATGAGCGATCTTTTCTTGTTTCCTTTTTTAGCAAGTGAAGGAGAATGGAGGGATCAAACATGCTTGAAGTAGTATTTACCATCTCAGGAAGACCTGGCAGGGGACCATTAGTCTGCTGGATAGTAGTGGGACTAGTCGTTTTTGTGTTTCCTGAAGCAACAAGAGCTAGCAGTTTACGCTGGCCATCAACCAATTCAGTAGTGAGATTTTGGGTGATTGACAAAGAAGAATTGATGGTATCCTGTGCACACAGAACAGCAGAAGTCACTACCAAAGAATAATTCTACTGCCATAGGCACTACTGCAAATAATATTCCAAGAACCTGATACACACAGGCTAACCAACAAACTAGCATGTTAAGCACGCACCCTCAAAGTAAGTGCCAAGGGAGTATGTGCGGCCTCAAGCTGCTGCTGAGAAGCAGCAGTATGTTCATTCATTCCTTTCTGGAAGACACAGTCTATTTGCTCAAACATTGCTTTACAAGACTGCTCAAATGCAGGAACCACTGAGGACTCCACACAAGACCTTAAAGCATCCTGCATGTTAAGGTTTAAGGTAAGCAATTTTTAGAGTATGAACAGAATATCTGAGAAAAATGAAAAAGACATATCAGCATCAGATATATATGAACAAGAGGGAAGTAGCTCTCTGCATATTACAGGGTTTCATATCTGTTCCCAGGAAGAGCTCATCAAATGTCAGAAGACAGAAACTGACTAAGCAGTGACACTTTCCTACCTGAAGAACTTGCTTTCCAGAGGTTTGGAGCTGTGTTTGAATTTGCCTTGATACTGTAGCTTCAAGCTTTGAAGAAACAGACCTCTCTAAATGATTCACTGCCTTATCACCAACTCCCCTCTAAGAAGCAAGACACAAGGCAATTATTAAAGGCACATATTTAAACCACGGGGTAGTTTCATCCATATCCCCGTAAAAGTTGAGAAATCAAGCTATTATCTCTCGGAACTTTCAAGGCCCATGTCTTTCAAAATCTTGAAGTCAACGCCCATATCCATCACTAAGGACATTCTACATGATGGATATAGGCAATAATTTTCAAGTTCTCGAGAGACATGGGTAACCTGTCAAGTCTTCAAGGGACAATTATGGGATACGTATGAAATTTTTTCTATTAAGACAAAATCCACAGGGGTGGGGTGTAATTGATAAAAAGAAAACCTGAAATGACTCGGTGATAGCTGAAGAAATAACTGGTGTAATTGCCCGCACTACAGTAGGCCCAACTGCAGAAATTTCCTTCTTTAATATCTTCTCTGATATGGCAGGCAAATCCTTGTTGACGATATTGGTGATTAAATTTGCCATCTGCTGCATCTGGTCCTTCCCAACCCGCTCACATTTTGCATGTTCTTCTTGAAAACGAGCCCATAGAGCATCTGAATTTGCCCTGACAGCTTTTTCCATGCAACGACCTAATGCTGCTTCCACTCGTTTGCCTTCTTTCATAACAGGAGCGGCCACCATTATACTCATTTGCTTCTGCATTTCCTTTTGCATGTTCATAATCTGCAAAAAGATATCATCACTAAACTATATTAGAAGAATGGCTAGGTGGAGTTTTACTATAAAAAGTGACAATTAACCAAATCAGTTCAAAGTTGGTGCCATATTTTTGTATAAGCTAAATTAAGAAAGCTAGTTTATTCAAGTGGCACATGAACTTTTCACATTTCTTTGCGCTTCAACTATAGCTCTGTCTAAAACATGACAAAGGATACATGTAAACCCAAACAATTCAAGGATTTGACAATAGCTTTATCCAAAATGTCAAAGAGGATAGATGCAAAACCTAAACAATTAAGAATTTCATGTTGAAGACACCCTTGCCTGACTTCGCAGCACACATCAAGCCCTAGTCAGTCATGATTCATGGCATTCACTCTATAAAGAAGTATAACCATCAAACAAAAAACTGATGCACACGAAGTATTTTAAAGAAAACCATCAAATATGAGAAATATGAGAAACAGAAGTTAATGAAAGAGAATCTCATAGTAGAACAGATAAATTTAGATAAATACTATGCATAAGTTTAAAAAATTACTCAATAAAGTCACAAAACACATAGCTATAAACAAACACCAATAAGTAAGGGTGAACGGGGCTCCCTTACCCTTACCTTGTAAAATAAAAGGCAGTTTATGACTTGAAATAAGTGTTGTCAAACACACTATATGTCATAAAGCACAACAACAAAGCCGTTAGTCCCAACTATTTAAGGTAAGCTACATAGATCTTTTGTCGTCATTGAGATCTGTAAAAGGTTATATGCTTAGTTAAGTTTAGAGTACCTAAAACTTTATTTATAGTTTCTATTAAAGTTTCTTTAGGTCTTCTTCTACCTCTCCTTGTAACACTAACATTAATTATTTCACCTCTTCTGACTATTGCATCCGAAAGTCTTCTAAACACATGCACATAACATCATAAGCGATTTTCTCTCATCTTATCCTGTATTGAAGCGATATCTAGTTGTTCACAAATAAAAAAAATCTCTCTTATCTTTCCTAATACTCCACACATCTATCTCAACTTTCTCATCTTGACAATACAAACTTTTTGTATATGTTATTTCTTAATTGTCAAACACTCCGATCCATAAAGCATTGTTGATCTCACAACTCCTTGGGGCACTAGGCCACTCGCTCTAAAGAAATAATTAAGAGTAAAGATTATCATCCAACAAGAACTTAAATCAAAACATTAGTTTTGTAACACTCATATGCAAGATGATTACTACTAAAGTACCAATCACACATGTATAACTAGAGCACTCAACCAATAAAATGATAATTAAATTAGTCCATATCTAAAAATTAAAACAAAAGAAAGTTAAACATTTATTGATCTAGGAGCTCTAATCATCAAAATCAAGTAAATGACGAAAAGATTCTATCTTTTGTGATCTCATTTTATTCATATCAGTGATTTAAAAAGCGTTAGGCGCCAAAAGGCGCCAAGATCCAAAAACGCTCGAGGCGCTCGCCCGAGCGAAGCGAGGCGCTAAAATATTAAAATATATAATATAATTAATAAATATAATTATTTAACAGTATTAAAATCAAAATAATATATTATTAATTTAATAAATACAAATACTATTATTAGAATACTGTTAACAGTATACAGATGGAGAAGAAGGAAGAGGAGTGTAAGGGGGTGCTGACTGAGAAAAAAGGAAGCGGCAGCGAGAGTGTAAGGAGGCAACGGCAGTGGGAGCGGGAATGTAAGGAGGCAGTGACAGCGGGAGTGTAAGGAGGCAACGGCAGTGGGAGCGGGAATGTAAGGAGGCAGCGGCAGCGGGAGTGTAAGGAGGCAGCGGAAGCGAGAGTGTAAGGAGGCAGCAGCAGCGGGAGTGTAAGGAGGCAGCGGCAGCGGGAGCGATGAGCGGCGACAGCGACAGTAGCAACGGCGAGCGACAACAGCAACAGCGGCGAGCGACGGCAGCAACAGCGGCGAGCAGCGGGAGCAGGAGCGACGACAACGGCAACGGTTGCGAGTAGCGATAGCGGCGAGTAACGGGTGTGGGAGCGACAGCGGCAACAAGCAGGGTTAGCCGATTAGGGTTGGGCAGCGATAGCTGATATCGATTTTAGTTGGTTCGATTGAACCAACTAACCACCGGAGACCGAACCAGACCTAAAATCCTGGTTCGATCGCCTGGTTTAACCCAGGCGCTCGCCCGAAGCGCCCATCGCCTGGGCTCGGGCGAGCGCCTAGGCGGCGCCTCTTTAAAGCGCGCCACCTGAAAGTTTAGCGAGGCGCTCGGGCCTCGCCTCACCTCGCCCGAGCGCCTAAGCGAGCACCTTTTTAAATCACTGATTCATATAAGCTTATAACTTTTGCTTTACATCAAGACATTTCTTGCGTGATGATGCATTTTCAGACATGCCAACTTGATTTTGTTTTACGGAAATATTTCATCTTTAACATGCAAATGATGACGATAATTCCTCTGATGTACATTTAGTTGTCATTGTACCTGAAATGTAGTTTCAATGACTATATTAAATTGGTTAATTAAGCTAAGGAGAGAAGGGAGAGAATAAGAGGAATGGATAGAAATGGAACAGAGGCAACAGTGGTGGGCAGAAGAGAGGAAAGAGGGATGGAAGAAAAAGAGGGAAGAGAGGGAAGAGGACAAAGGGTAGGCAAGGCAGCAGCAATAATGGTTATTGACTTCAAAGAGAGGAGACAAGAAGAAAGGGGAGAAAAGAGGGCAAAGAAAGCAGCAGCAACAGGTGCTGGACACTTACAGGAAAGGAGAGGAGAGGAGAGGGAATAGAGGACAACAGCGATGGAGGGTGTTGGCCATGCATAGAGGAGAGGGAGAGAAAAAGAGGGAAGAGAGAAGAGGGTGGCAGCACAGCAGCTATGGACAGAGGGAAGAAAGAAGAGGTAGAAAAGAGGGAAGAGGGATGGGAGAGAAGAAAAGAAGAGATGTTCTCGACAAAGAGGGGAGATGTGGCTACCAGCATCAATTCAACAGCAAAAATGTTAGGGCATAGTGCGGGTGTCGGGCATGAAGGATTAGGTTTAGATTGGACCAGGAAGAGGGCATTAGATTTGGATCAGATCAAGTAATATGTGTTGCCCGGGTCAGCCTAGAAGAGCACCTGAAATACCCAACAGGTCAGCTAAGGCGCTCGTCTAGGTGATGCCTAGTTGACAGCACCTTGCTCCAGACTTATCGGGGCACTAAAATCCTCAACTCACCTTGTCCAAGCATCTAGATGAGCACCAGAACACCTCGTTACATCGCTGCTTAAAACATAATCATCCACATGGTAAAGGGGAAATATTAGCATGACACTGAAGAAAATTAAGATGTTTGACTTTGTAAATATAATTTCAAGTTTTACCAATACAGGGAACAAAATCATTGAATTATAATAATTTTCAACTCCTTTCATATTTATTTTGCAACAATAAAAAATCATAGTAAATACATCATAATATATGGTACCCTAAACAACTATGCATGTACTTAACTCCTACTTAGAATTCTGATCATGCGAAATCCCTATCATATGCCGATGATTAGAATTCTGAAGATCACAAATCAGACAGCACAGGATCCTCAGAAGATAAAGGACAGAACAGAATGAGAGAGGTAAGGTTACAGTCCATTCAAGGAGAACAAGGAATTCAGATACCAGGACAGTGATAAGATATGCAGTCACTGTAGAATTGGCCTCCTAGAGCCAAGTTGACAAGCGTATTCTTCATTACTTAACCATTTTAGATATCTGTATTGCCTTTTAGGCTAAATATGTCCATCCATATGCATTAATGGTTATGAAATTTTTAGCAGTAGCCATTCAACCAAATGATTCGTAATATGTTTTTCTCAACCCATTAGAATATTAGGCTATGAAGTTCCAATAACAGGTAACCATAAACAAGTAAAAGCAAGAAGTCCTAAGATATACTAGTTATATCCAGAGAAGCAAATACTAACAAATAACTTCCTTTAACTTCCTGAAAAATGTGAGGCAAATGCAGTCTTACTTCACGAGGATGGAACCTCCAGATGATCTCAATCTTTAATTCTTAGTCATGTATAAAAAACTCATAGGAGAACAAACAGCAAGACTATTGTAAAACAAATTTGACAAAGCAACAAAAATGAGGTCAACTTTCTTAGCAAAAATAAGTTCTAAAATTCGAAGTATAAGCAGAAAGAAAGAGCAAAACATTGTTAACTACCTCATCCAAGCTGAAGGCTGTCAAAATCTTTTTTAATATACAAGATATGACCAAGTGATTAGGGGTTACCAGATAATAGCAAGTTCATCTATGTCTAACAAAACAAACAGTTTAGTTGAGTACACCAGTTCACCTCTTCAAAAAAGAAATAAGAACTCAACTTCATAGACAGTACAGATACCAACAATGTCTGGAGTACAGAAAAAGAGCTCTGCCCCTCAAGATATCATGTAACATGCACTGAATTAAAATTCTCAAAAGCAAAATAGAGAAAACTTCTGTTTACTTTTCTAAATGTGACATACTTCATAAGCCTAGCTCCCTGCCAATCAATAATCATCTGATGTTTAAGAAAACCAAATTAAGTTTTCCAAACAAAAAGAAAAAAGTACTTCTATGTTCTAAGAAAACAGGATTCATCATCCAAGGACAATGTTATCCAAAAATATGTCGGGATATAAGTTGTTTGTCATACACTATAAATTATGAAGATTTGTCTTACAACCTATACTTTTTAATGTATATAACATAACATGTTAAGTAATATCAAACTAATATCCATCAGAAAAGCATCACGAAGTCAAGTGCTCTAAATACCTGGTTCAGTGTTTCCTGTAGTGCAAGAATCTGAGGGATGGCAGCATCAGTTGGAGTACTGGAGAAGCTCCCTGGTTCATTCAGAGAATCAGTAGAGTTGAAAGGGCTTGATGAAGGGGGTGAAACGCCAGTTGTCTGGTATTGTTTTGATTTTTGCTTCTTCCCTTTAGTAGCTGAGAGATTTTGGGGTGTAATAGCAGATTCCTTTTCAGGCATATCCTTTTTGTTGTATTCAACTTCTTCCTCGAGGATACTGGGTGGCTGATCCAATGTCTCAGCAGTGTGACCACCCTGGCAAGCTTCTATCACAGTAGAACACTCATTGTTGGCCTCAAATTTTGCTTCTAAAGTCTGGGAGGATCTTTCATAATCTTCAATAATAACAACTTGAGGCACTTTCTGAAAACCATTGCCCTCTGCCTCACCTGATTGGCCTTCCCTGACAACTTTTACTTCCACCTCATGACTTGCCATATTGTTATCTATGATCACATCTTGGACCTTGACTCCCTCAACCACTGGACCTTGATTGACATGGCTACTTTCTGAGGAACTTATAGCACCTGAAAGGATTTCTGATGGAGTAATTAGGTGTGTTGTGTTTCCACCAAGCTTAAAGAGTAAACGACGATTTGGCACCATAGAAGGATCATCTTGTTCAGTTTTGGAATCATCTTTTTTCAAGTTCTCATTTATAGAAGGAACATCAGGTGTACTGTCAACTGAATGATCAAAAACCGACTGGTCCACAACATGATCACCAATTGATGATCCATGATCAGAACCTTTATGGGGGCTATTCAGACTGGGTACTCTTCCAGCAAGGTCTGGATTTGCAGGAAAAGAAGAAACATGTTGAGCATCAGTGTCTTTCTCAGAAAATGGAGCACTGGGCTTAGATTCAGGTTTTGACATGGGTGGTTCACATACATCCATGACCTCAGAAGAAGCTAAGCTTGTCAGATATGGAATTGCACAGTCACTGCTGCTCACTGTATGAATTTGTGGTGAAGCACTTACTGAAGGATCATCGACAGAAGGTCCACAAGATGACTCTAACACAGATGATGCTTCCGGGCTGGGTGTCCCCAGGACACAAGATAGAGGATCTTTGGCCAAACCAGCATTATCAGTTGGTGGTGGTAAACACTGGGTCAGATCCAATGCATACTGCTGAATTGCCTGTGTCTGGACACAATATATCTGAACCGATTGTCCCCCATCAGGCAAGAAATCATTTGTACCAGTAAGACTCAAAATAGGCATTGCAACTGTAAAATCTGCTACATAGTCCATGCGTGTGGAAGCCGGACATGTGCCATAGTCTACATGCACAGCATATATCGCATTCTTCTTAGCATTTGCAATAACTATAAGATTTGCTTGAGGTAAGACTACAATTTGATTGAAAAATGCCTCTTCAAGACGAGGTTCTGAGGAACTTTTCAAGTCCAAGGTCTGAGTGCAGCGCCAAGATTCAGAATCACTAGGCAAGAGCCAACCTTCTTCATTAGAAGAAGTCCATATTTTCACTTCTCGGTTCAAAGGGCCCTGCAACAAAAAGTTTTAATCAACTAAAGTTCATTGTAAGATGAGAGCTTGACAAAGAGATGACATTGATAATGAATGAAGCACCATTAGAAGTGTTAACTAACAATATTCAACTGCATCAGAAGTAATAACCTAACTTGTGCATAACGAATACCTAAAGATACTTTGAACTCATCAAAAATAACAAAACAAAAACTGCATGCTATTTAAACACATCTCGAGAGTCAAAAGGAAATGTACCGCAGTGATAAGATTGATGTGATCGGGTTGATGAGGGGATGTCATGAATGCAACTGAATTAACAGGTTGACCATCGTGTGGTCTCAATGTGGCAAGGGCTATCGCTTTGCGATCTTCCCAGATCTTTACCTGTGGCAACATAAAGAAAAGACAAAAGTATAAATACATAAAAGAGAAGGGTTCGATAACTAAACTGCAGGGTCTAGAAAGTACGGAAGCTGCATCAAATGAATCTTTACAACTTTGAAATGCTTATCTTCTATATCAAAAGTTATATTTAATTTTCAACTCTACAAACTCCAAACTTCCTTTTCACACCTGAAAAAAGAAGGAACAGAGACCAAAAAGGAAAAGAAAAAAGTAGAACAAAATGATACATTCTCTCATAAGTTGGCTTGCATAAATTAATTACCATCTGGCCCATGCAAATAAAGCAAAAGTGATTAATTTATACATGAACATGAATCACATGCAAAATCTAGTACCAAGAAAGTGGAAGAGTTATTGATAAGATGCTTAACACACAGAACAGTAACTTAAAGCAGACAAATCAAACACAAAAGTATAACCCAAAAGATAGATTAGGAACTAAACATAAGCAGTTAGATTAGTGATAGGGGTAAATAAAATGTCATAAACTGGAGAAAACATAAAGATGGAGATAACATAAATGGATCAGCCAGCACCTAAGACACTCTATGAATTAAAAAGTATCCATGTATAAACTTGATACTTTATAATTGTGACCCCACATATATAGAGAACAATTAACTCACATACCTAAGAATTTTGGAAAAGAAATTTGATGGAACAAGGCTTAATATTAAAAATATATACAATTGAAGGAAAGAGAAAATCTGATTATCAACTTTATATGACTCAATCTAGATTGTAAAGAAACCTAACTCTATATTACACCTACTATGTATCAATACATTTCTGCTATGAATATTCACAACGTAGTGATTAATAGTCACTGCAATGCCTTGAATTTTGGTCTTAGTCTTTGTAATGCAGATAAATCCTGATTCCCAAGAATGCAAAAAAGAATTGAAAGTTCTTGTTCTTCTCTTCTTTGTTGATGTTGCAATTGGTTGCCAATTGACTAAGAACGAAATTATAGCCAAAAAAAATCTGAATAGAAAGAGGAGGAGACAATATCTTTCTTCAAAGTAAATCCTCTACTAGATAACACGGGATTGTGTGGTGACTATAGGCAGCCTAAATCTGATTTTGATCAATGATAATGCATAATGCAGCAATATAAAGCGTGAACAATTAAAAAAAACAATGACAATCCAAAAGACAGGCTGAAATGATAACCAAGGGATTAAAACAAGGTTAGAAATCAAGAAAATATGAATTAGAAGAAAGCTACAGAAACAGTTGAATTTTCTGTAAATGATGACCTCCATGCACAAAGACTAAATAATTGAAACTAGTGCTTATACTAAAGTATGTTCATGTGATTGCAAAAGATTGACTCCCAGTGACTTGATAGTAATTCCAACCCAAACTTATCCACAACTTGTAATCATCAATTCTGCTTAAAGTGTCACTTCAAAACCATTATTCAAAATTCAAATCATCAAAGAATTATCGTGACAGTGTGAAAACATATAGAAAATTTGAAAAAGAAAACTAAGATCAATCAACATCACTCCCCGGATCGTTTTTAACTTCTTAAGGGTTTCATTCACTAGACAAAAATAATCAAATTAATCAATCAAATTTATTTAACATTATCCAATATGTCAACCAATATGATGATGTGAACCAAAGTATGGAGGCATCCAGAGATGTCTCTATTCTGATGACCTCGTTTCTACATTGGGACAGAATGTCAACAAAACACTATATGCAAGTCACAAGAAAAACTATATAAAAAGCTAACTTTAGCCTTGGGGTCATCAGTAATTTAAAAAGGCGCTCGGGGAAGGCGAGGCGAAGCTCGAGCGCCTCGCTAAACTTCCAGGCAGCGCGCTTCAAAGAGGCGCCGCCTAAGCGCTCGCCCGAGCCCAGGCGTTGGACGCTTCGGGAGAGCGCCTGGGTTAAACCAGGCGACCGAACCAGGATTTTAGGTCTGGTTCGGTCTCCGGTGGTTAGTTGGCTCAATCGAACCAACTAAAATCGATATCAGTTGTCGCTGCCCAACCCTAACCGGCTAACCCTGCTCGTTTTGATATAATGAAAAAATTCATGTTTTGATTGAAGTTCTTGTTTAGATGATTATCTTTATCCTTAATTATTTTTTTCTAATTTTTTGTAAGGTAAGAATTTTTTTTGCTTGGGAGATCGCCTCAGGCAATAGGGTACCTTGTCGCTTTATAGCACCTGGCTATTTTAGAAACACTGGCTTAGGGTCAACCAAATCCTAGACTGAAAGTAGGACAAGTTATCAAACATTCGTAACTATATGGAGCTATATCAACCTATACCACCTTGAAAAAACCAAAATAAATGTCCTAATATGGCTTCAAATAACACATTCTGGAAATAGTATGCGTTAGCACAATATGTGGTGACAAGTGGTGCAAAAAGGCAGATGCTAACATTGCATCTCCTGAATAAAGCTTCTTAAGAACTTACTCTAGAACCTTTTACTCTATGATCTTTAATAACATTTACCCCGTTCTTGTTCCTGCTAGTTTGTTGTATTTAGATCATAACAAAATTACTAGAGGCTAAATTGGCCGTTAATTCACATAAAGAACAATGAAAAAGAACCTTCAAATGTGCTTTTTTGGGGAAACCCAATGCAGAAGGCTCCTGTCAATGTGAAGTTCGGGAATGGTCAATATACATAGTCTTCCCCTATTAAAAGGTTGTTTTCGCAACTTGAACCCTAGTCACCCAAGTGGCAAAGAGCAAACTTACCAAATGTGCTTTTCTAAAGTATCTAATATCCAGCTTTATCAACCCAACTAAATGTATTGTGTATTACATGTATGTGTGTATCTAAAATAATTTATATAGGTCATCACAAGTAGGCAGTTGTACATATTTTCAAGGCCACATGTTATTTTCAGAATATACTTCTATTACAACCAAATATTTTATATAGGTCATCACAAGTAGGAACATCATCTGTACACATTTTCAAGGCCACATGTTATTTTCAGAATATACTTCTACGACAACCTGCCATGACAAGTGATGATAAATTATCCATATAAAAGTTCAGATGGTGGTGACAATCTTATATTCTATGCAGCCCATTCAGCTATATAGTTAAGTGTGAAACTAACGAAAAGCCATAGCAATAAGCTCGTACATGCAAATCATTGGCAATTACAAGTGGAGCTAAAAGTGATAATTACATACCATGCCATCTTTTGATGCTGACACTAGTCGGGTTATCATCCATTGGGATATGGATAAATCTGTCACTTCTCCATCATGTTTACCAATAAGTTGAACCCCATCAACCAGCTTCTCAACAGAACACTTGAGAGGTTCCTCTGCTGAAAATTCTTTTCCTCTTCCAATTTTGATTGTGTCAATTTTTAATACACGATTTCCAATTCCAACAAACAAGATTTCCTGCAAAGGTTTCTCAAAAATGAGAAGCATGAACTTCACATGAAACACTTGCAAAATATTTTATGAACAAAAAATTTAAAGATGCATATTCTTATTAAGTTATAGCCACATAGATATCAAGAAGATTAAGATCAATTAAGTGCAAAAAGTTCATGCCAATAATGCATGTCATAGTTCAACATACTTGCTTGTGAGAGTGCCAACAAATTCGTGGATGATAAGGCTCTCCATCTCCTACAATCTGAAGAGCAATTATTATTTTTTCTGTTATCAGTGGTTTATTTCCCTCATCAGGACCTTCATCAATCTTCCACACAAAAACCCTTCCATCAATGCTCGCACTACAATACAAAAGATTAGTTAACTGACAAATAAAAGAAGCATATAAAAGATACAAATATAAGCAATATATTACCTTGCTAAAAGGTGAACATCTTCAGCAAAGAAAGCCATGTCTGTAACTCTCTGAAAGTGCAAAATAAATAAATTCAAAATGCTGACAAAAACCATTATATAATCAATTTCAATTTACTGTGCCTCCACTTTAATATAGCATGAGTAAAGAATGTAAAGAAAAAAAACCTCAAAAGGAACTTAGCTACACACAAGGTTGAGATAAAAAAACAACATTAACTTCCAAAAGGTTTAGTAAAACCACAAACTAAATGTATTATTTAGTAGCAGCTCCTTGCAGGAATGTTTGTGTGGAAACTGCTCCTATAGAAATTGCATTTTCAATGTAAAATAAGACTACAGAAAAGATTTCACAATCATGAACTTGTGTAGAATGTAACGTTTAATGAGGTTAATTGAACTTGTCGATCATGATGCCTCACAACATGGTCCAAACAAGGGCACCAAAAAAATAGGCCTCGTAGCCTGCTTGATCTTTATCCAGCAAGAGGATTATAGTTTTCACAACCTAGTGTACCACTGTACCCTTAATTTCATTCTCTACACACAATGGTACCATCATCATCAAGCTAAATTAGAATATAACATCTCATGAACTAAAAAGAGTTTTTAAGCCCAGAAAGAGAAAACGAAAGACCTATTACCTTCTGTTGGACTAGGATGCCGTTCCCATACCTTTGACCTCTGTCGGAAGTATATACACAACTACAGGCTAAAGACACAAGCAAGCCAATTGTGCACGTGAAACAGCTTTTCATCTAACAAGCTAAAATATTAAAGTTTCTATTTCTGAGCTTGCTAACTGTTAATATTGCATCATGAAGCAGGATCAGCTTTATAAAAGTTAAAGAACTTATATCCCACTCAGATGAACAAAAGTTCTGTGTTAATAGTATCCAAATTGTAGCTCTAAGAAAAGTTTCTAGGCGCATGTAGAATTCTTGAAGCCCCAAGTTTCAGTGGTCACAGATCACTGCAGTCTTTCAAGGTATCATATATGTATTGATCACAATAACCAACAATGTATTATCCTAAAATTTCCACATGGAAGAAACCTCACTGATAAATCATGTTAGCACAGAAAAATATCAAACGTCCACATAATTTAACAAGAGAACCATAGTGATCCACATAGGTTGAGTTTCAATCTTAACAGAATTGTTAAACAATCGTCGACTGAAATACACGTTCACACCAAAATCCAAATAATAAATACGATGAAATAACAAAGAGTTCAACAAAGTTACTGGTCCAACTAAGTTACTAGCACCATATGATCAATGCATTTAACAATCAAATTCAACAAGCAAATTGCAACAACCATTAGACCGGTGTTTCCTTTGGCAAAATTAGTTCTTCTGGTAGCAAAAGACAGATTTTAACCAATAGAACCAACATTACGAGCAAGTGAACTACAGGTTCCAAGCAAGATCAACCTGAGAGTGCCCTTTGAGCAGAGCTCGCAAGGCTGTGTTGATATTCAGCACCCTAATAGCCCCCAGCTTGAGCCCGTAACATATATATGTCCGATTGACAGCAATTTGGCGGCCCAAAACAAGCCCCGGATCTGATACGTACTTGGTGATTGGCGTGACCTCGAGCTGCGGGGGCTGTGACTCTCCCGGCAGCCTAGAGTCGACATCATACACAGCGCGGTTTCCAACTCCCAGTAGCCGCCCCCGAGGCAGCTTGCTACTCGCGACTCTCGCCGGCGCCGGCTGAGCAACCGCCAGAGCAACTGCTGGCGCCGACGGGATCGGATGTAAGACCGCCGCATTCCCTGGGGCCGAGAGCTCAGAGGGCACGGATGACGGCGGCGGCATCGAGACGGCGGATTCAAGCTGAGTGGAAGCAGGATTCAGTAGCGCCATTAGCCGGGCACCGGGGTTGGGATTGGAGCTAAGGTTAGGGCCAGGTCTGGGACCGGGGAGCTGGGGGCTGGCAGTGGGATAGGAGACGGCCGGTCGGTGGAGGGGATCCTGAGGGTAGTGGAGGAAGGGTGGTTGGTGGTGGAACGGTGGAGTGACGGGGGGATAGGAGAAGGCGCCGTGGGCCGGTGGCGAGGGGTACGACGGCGGCGTAGCTGGGTAGGAGGACGGCGGGGGCAACGTCGGCGGGGAGATGCTAGGGTTGGGATTGGGGAGCTTGAAGAGGTTAGGGTTCCCAGCGGGGGAGGCCATCGGCGGACAGCGGCGGAGGGCCGGAGAGGAGAGCTAGGGTTTCGGAAACGGACGGTCGCTACCGTGCGCAGGGACGGGGGAGGCGTCCGTTAAGCGGTCCGCAGGGGAAGAAAACGACGACGCGGTGGAGTACTCAGCGGAGAAGAAATGGGGAGAGTTTATTAGTTGTTTATAAAAACATGAAAACACAATTTTGTTTTTAGTTTTCGGATAAGAAGTGCTTTCTATTTCGTGAAAATACTGGTTGACAGATATTTATTTGATTCCATTTTTTGCTAATTATATGCTATTGGAGAAAATTCATGCAAGACAAATGATGAAAAAAACATGCAATAACTCAAATAATTAAGGCATTATAACTTATTGTTAAGCTAATTTTCCTTAACACATTCTAAAATGTATTACTTTTTTAGAAAACCCTTATGTTATATTTGGCTTTTTGTGATTAAACCGCAACATAGATTTTCTAATTATAACTTTTTTTTGTGCTAATTTAGGGAATTTCATGCATATTTTTATGCATACACTTGATGCTTTAAGTCATAATTCATTAAACATTTAAGTTTGAATCCTAATCCCAATATTTGGTCAATTGATCATATTTTTAAACCATTTAATTATAGTGAGAATGAAAAAAATTATTTGATGAATTACTATGATTTTAATAAAAATATTTATGTCATGTCTTAGGGTAAAAAGTTTATCATGTCCTATTTATAATTTTATTTTTTATCCTATTATATAAGATATAATTATAATAATACTAATAATAGATAGAATAATATAGTTGAGTTGGATAGACAAAAATCTCTTAAGTAAATATTTTAGATATTTTAGATCAATTATTTAATAAGATAAAGAGATATAATTCATTGAGTAAAGAAAAAAGATTGATCTATCAGAAGCATTATGAATCTTATGTGATTATCATTTTTTTAATTTAAAAAATATAAAATAGTAATGAGATCTGTATGGATTTGAGTATTAGATAATTAAGAAATGATATATAAAAAAATAAATTTATATTTCTGAGACAAAAATAGTGAAATGAATAAGTAGAGTCATAGAAAAAATATATATTTTTATTCATGAATAAAATTATATATCACTTCAACGAGGAATAAGATGAGGTATAATCATTTAATGCGATAGAAACATATACAAATATGATAATTAAAAGATGTGAAATGATTAATTTTAATAGTACAAGTTGATATATAAAAAAATAAATTTATATTTCTGAGACAAAAATAGTGAAATGAATAAGTAGAGTCATAGAAAAAATATATATTTTTATTCATGAATAAAATTATATATCACTTCAACGAGGAATAAGATGAGGTATAATCATTTAATGCGATAGAAACATATACAAATATGATAATTAAAAGATGTGAAATGATTAATTTTAATAGTACAAGTAGAGATAGATAAAAATAAAAAAATATTTTAATAAAAATTATAAAATATTTTTTAAAAGATTCTAAATTTAATTAAATATATGACTCTTTACAAATCTTGATAAAATATTGATGTAATCAACTTTAAATAATTAAGAATTACGATTTTATTATTATTAATATTATTGTATTTATGAATCTTAGTCTGTTTTAATCTTCAGAGAAATTAAGAGTGTATTATTTCAAGTTTTATTATATATAGGAACATTTGCAGTGGGAATTGTTGACTTGCTTATTTTATTTTATTTTCATAGTTTTTATTGAAAATGGTGGGAAAATTGGGATTGCCAAATAAGGACATTGGAAAGTTCTTACTAGCACAAAAGGCTTGGAATCTTCCAAAGGTAAAATATTTGTTCTATTGCAGCACTCTAACATGGTTCAACTTCACCAGTAGGCTGCAGCATTATTGGAAATTGATATATATACTCTTGATGTAAAAGTGGTGATTCCACCCACTCCTCTAAAACATATATACCTCAAATGAACAACTGATGCTAAATCCACAAAAGCAAACAAATTTGTCTAAAACTGAACATAAACCAAAGTTTTTTTTGGGTGGAAAAACCTCTCTCTCTTTTTTTACTCTTGCTAATAGGTGTCGCTTATTTTCAAAATTTTCTAATATTTTTTTACCTGATATCTGAAATATTCGATCTCCGATCATATTTTCTCTATTTACAGTGTTTTAAGTAATACTAAAAAATATTATAACATAATAAAAATTATGTCATAATGTTATAAATGGTGTTGTAATGTTTTTACATTATGTTATAGTAATTTTTTACTGTATTATAATATTATTAAAATTACATGGTGTAAAAAAATATAACTTGGATCGATCTATAGAAAAATGGAGAAAAAACGGATAGGTGATTGATTGTTAAGTCAAGAATATTCTAAATATTATTAGAAAAAAATGTTTAAAAGAATTTCAAATTTTGGGATACTTCTTATGTATGGGAGTGTGAGAGAGAGAGAGAGATAAGGGGGTGGGAGCAGAGTCCAAGTGATCGAACACTTGGTGTGCCCTGAGTTGCAGCACATCTTTATCCTACCACCTCGTAGAACTCTATCGCAGCTGCGTCTCCGAATGGACTAGTCTTCGTTGTGAGAGGGACGTCTGCCTTCCTTCTCAGGTTTTAATCTTCACGGAACTGTGCGCAGAGGAAACATTACCAAGTAGCACTTCTCGTCGTCGAAGTAGACGATGACCATCCTTTCAACGGAAGTAGCACTTCTTTTCCCTACCACTTCCTCTACCTACCTTGGCATGAAGTCGGGCACATGTGGGGCCCATCTCTATCCATCGCTACCTCCGGTCACGGGGCCGGTAATTACCAGGGTATTTAACGAAAGAGTAGGAAACGTATTTTACTTTTGGTTCGAGGCCTTTGCCGGTGTTGTGTGGCTACCACGTGCGTATCTCGTGCGGAACTAAAATAAAAATACACATGTGGTAGCGGATAATTACTCCGCACGAGACACGCACGTGGTAGCAAGCGTGTGACGTGTGTGTAATCTTGACTTAATTTGATCGAAGTAGTATGCATGGGTGATCTAATGAAGGAGCAATCTTGTCATTGTACTGAAGTCCATTCATTGACTAGGATTCAAATTCTAGATTGGCGATCAAAAATGGCTGCTGACAAAGTTTACGAGGATCTAGATTTGAGCATCAACCTTTTTCTGGCACCGAATTGAGTAGATCCAAATAGATATCGAGCACAGTGAAGACCACTAAGTTGCTTGCCTCCTTTGTGTGCTCTTTTGCACTCACAAGACTCGCATCATGCATTGCATTTGCTGCCTTAAACCTGCAGCCACATCTTTATGGACCCAATGACACAGCACTAACAATGGGAGGCAACGGTTGTACTGGATGAACCTCCATTGGACCGACAAACTTGGCCTCCAAGAACAGTGTCATACTAGGGACATAGTGGCTACAAGTCACAGCCTCCAAGAACACTCGAAGCTAATTATAAGGCATGCATTATGGATCAAGTACTCGATGGAGTTCATTGGAGGGTTCAACCTCATCCGAGCAACTTGACCCCCCCAAACATCACATCCTTGATTCATATTAAAAAGAACATAAAGGTTGGGCCTCTTATTAAAGTAAAAGATCCATCACATCCACAAAGCTTTAGAACTTTAGGCATGAGATCTTTGGATGCAAGCATCATGACCTGAGAAGGGCATGCAGCGGAGGCATCATCCAAAGGCCTTCATGTTAAGGATCAAGGAACTGGTTGAGTAAAAGAAGGATCAGATGAGCGAAACATAATCAATTGTTTTGTTCGATCAAGACTTCGCTCATGCAGCTGCCCACAGGCGCAAAGAAAGAATATGTTTCCCACATGCAAACCCAAGTGATTGTGATGGAAGCTTGTGATGATTCCCCCATTCTTCGGCTTTATGCTGCTTGGGACCCAAACATCTCCTCGAAGATGATTCCCTGGTGGCATGAAGACCACGGGGTTGCACGTGCCACACAGCATACGGCAACACGAGCCTTCTCATGGATTAGGTCAGTGAAAATGGTGATGTGTGTGTGTATATATGCTCTCCAAAGACCAGCAGCGTGCATTATTCTTGCATGTCTGCAATGTTGGTGGTCCTGCACATTCCTTTAGGGCGAAGAAGGTGAAGGGGATCCAGTGTTGTTCTTTGCCTAAATAAAAGAAAAGGCTAAGGGGATTCTTCAGTTGTAATCATTCCACCATAAAGCAAACAACCCTTTTGAGTGTGTTATCACATTAAAGTAGATGCAAACACTTGTGTCTAAAGCATCAACTACAAGTTTTGGATCAAAATATTATCTTCGAGACGAGCATAATATCTCCTTGCACCGCCTGGATTCTGCCTCTAAGTTTATGGGTTGGCTTCTGCAGCAATGATGCACGGTGCTGTAGAGCTCCAACCGGAGGGACCATTAGCCATGAATGCTATCTTCGAAGTGAAGTGTCGTTCGTGGTCCCTGATCCATCTGTCGCGAGTTGACGATGAGTCGATGCTGCTTGTTGCTGCATGAGGCGATCATGCATGGATGCGGTCCACCAAATCGTATCGACGAGAGTGAGCGCAGATCATACATATGTCATTCCTGGTATTGATTGCTAGCTCTCTTCGAGAAAGTTTCATGTAGTCATGCGTGGTTTAAATTCCATACTGCATTCAATGCGCTGGAATGAACTGTGGCAGAAATCCAAGAAATGGCGTAAGCAAAGTTTTGATCAAACTAACTCCTCTTAGTGAGGCTACATATCTATCACTTGAGAAGTTGTCTCGTATGAGATGTGATGAGTAGAACACATTCAAGCAAACTAGGATTCAAGGTAGGTTTGGACTTTTGGGGTTTGAGGGTGAGGGAGTACTTGGCATCTGTACCACCTGCATGGGGATGGAAGCAGTCAAGAAAAAGGACCATAGAGAAACAAAAGTACGTTTGGTGGCATGCGCACATCCACATGTCTCCGACAAGCAAGCTGCCAGTCCTCTGACTTGGCATTTACCTGCTCATCTGGGCCACCTCTGTCATGGTTTACCCCCACAGCCATGGACTCGAAAGAGATCATCCATTGGAAGCTTTGAATGCCCCCTCGTGCACTAATGAATGAGGTCAATAGGGACGTGGGGTTGTAGGGTTTGAATACCAATACCCCTAGCGAGACAGAGACAGAGAGAGAGAGAGAGAGAGAGAGAGAGACGACGAGGTAGGGAAAGTGGAGTC